GAGAGGGGAGAGAAGGGGAGGGGAGGGAGAGAGAAGAGAGGGGAGAGAAGGGGAGGGGAGAGAGAGAGAAGAGAGGGGAGAGAAGGGGAGGGGAGAGAGATAGGCTGACACAATCACCTTTGAAGGGTAGCACCTAGATTTAACTGAAATGAGCATCTGGAAGGGATAGGAGAGAGAAAGAGGAGAGAGGGGGAGAGGAGAGGGGGAGGGGGAGACAGAGAGAAGGAAGAAGAAGAAGGAAGAGAAGAGAGAGAAGAGGGGAGAGAGAGAAAGAAAAAGAAGGTGAAGAAGAGAAGAGAAGAGAGAGGGGAGAGGGAGAGGGAGAGGAGAGGGATTGAAATGTGGTCATAACTGAATTTTGACACCAAACTAAAATGAAGAAAAAAAGTCCAAAATATATTTTTAAGAAGTCTAATTCTCACTGCAAATTGTAAATCTGTTGTCTTTCTGCAGACTGTCTTCCTCAATTTAAAATAAAATAATTTTTGCTTTTGGTCTGTATCAGTTTATTTCCAGATGTTCATTTCAGTTAAATCTAGGTGTTGTCCTTCAAAGATAATTGTGTCTGCCTACCAGTGAATAAATCATTTCTTTCTGAATAATTTTTTAAAATTAATTATTTTATTTGGTATAGGGTCTCACTATGCAGCTCAGACTCATAGTGATCCTCCTGTCTCATCCTCCACAACACTGGGATTATAGGCGTGCACCATCATACCTGATTTTGGTTCCAGAGATCGAACCCAGGTCCTCGTGCTTGCCAGGCAGGCACTTAGACTGCTGAGCTTCCTCCCCAGCTGGATATGCCATTTCTTCAGATAATATTATATAATCTGGTAGAATGTAAACTTAAAATTAAAAAAATAATAAGTGTTCATAGGTACCCTAGCATGATACTTTATGCAATATAGTAAAAGCCTATAGACTTAATGTTCAGATAACTTTGAAGTATTTTTGCCTCTTCCAAGATAACTTGTATTCTTAATACTCCTTAGGCCACATTTTGATAGAGCTCAAAATAATTATTAAAATATAATTCAAACTGTGTTTCCTTTAAATATATACAATCTGTATGCATAGAGAACATGTACTACAGTACACCATGAAGTTATACTTGCTTATTGGAGATCTTTTTTTTTGTTTGTTTTTCTTCTATGCTGGGAATTGAAGTGAACTCAGATTGAATTGAATTGAACTCAGTGTGCTAAACTATATCCTCAGTCCTCTCTCTCTTTTTCTTTCTTTCCTTTCTTTCTTTCTTTCTCTTCCGGAACCAGGGATTGAACTCAGGCCCTTGCACTTGCCAGGCAAGCACTTATTCTACTGAGTTATCTCTCCGGCCCCCTCAGCCCTTTTTCATCTTATTTTATTTTTAATTCTTTTGTACTGAATTTGAACCCAGTGCTTTTGTACTGAGCTATATCCCCAGCCCATTTCTAATTTTTTGTTCTGAGACAGGGTATTAAGTTGCCTGGGTTGGGTTCAGTCTTATGATCCTCCGGCTTCACCCTCCATCTCAGTTATTCTCTGTTGCTGGGACAAATACCTGACACCCAAAATGAAGAAAAGAAAGGTTTATTTAGGTCACAGGTAGTGGATGTTTCAGTCCATACTCAGCTGGCTCCGAGGCAGAGTGGCATGTGGCAGAGGGCAGTGGTTCATGACAGCAACAAAAAGCAAAGCAAATGGGAGTAGTGGCAGCAATGGCAACAGAGAGCAAGTCTGTCTCCTGTATGTTGCTTTTAGGCCCTCTGCGCCAGGCTGGGTGTGCCCTCACACCCATAATCCCAGCAGCACTCACATCCATAATCCCAGTGGATCATGAATTAATCACAAAGTCTAGAAGCCCATTTTATGACTGCATGAGGCTTTTGGGAGACAACTAGACACAAACCATAACACCCTCAGAGAATGACTGATTTCATTGTATTGAGACAGGGTCTCACTGAGTTGCTCAGGCTGATCTAAAACTTGTAGTTCTCTTTCCCCAGCCTCCTGAGAGCTGCAGCATCCTGCCTGGCGAAATCTTGCTTCTTATAGTATGAACATCTGTGAGAACTTGATTAACCTCCTTTAGAACATTCCAAGTGGGGAGGCAAGCCTGTGTGTTAAAGCTTACTTTACAGCCAGTGTGCATGCTTGGCACATAGTAGTTGAAAGATGAGACCTTTGATAGCTTTAAATCCTAAGACCAATAGTAAAGAAGAGAGTAGATGAAAAGGCTAGGAGCCATATTTTAATTCCATCCCTCCAGACCCAAGGGAAAGAAACTGTATTCTATCAATGTTAATGTATTAACAGTAGTTTATACTTTTATCTTGTGGTACCTGATAATTCCAGATGTTTACTTATATGTATCTTTTAGGTGCCCTGATGTGAATCTGCAAAAGCTGCCAGAGCAGTGGTTATGGAATGTTTTGGAGGAAATTAAATGCAGCGATCCTTCATCCAAACTCTGTGCTACAAGGCGCAGTGCTGGGATCCCTTTCTACATACAGGTACTTACCTGGAAGCTGTAGTTGTTTGTCTTTTGGTAGTGTCTCCTTACCTCCTTGACCTATGAATAAGTCACATAACGACCAGTGGCTTTGTTTTAATGTGTGGACAGTGTTCTGTGACAGATCTGTTCTTGGAACAAACCCTTTAAGGTGTTGGTCTTGTCATGTAAAGAGGGAGGTAGAGCTCTCCCTGGGTGGTAAGTAGGCAGACATCACTGTGGCACGTTAACTGATCACTGCCAGGAGGTACAGCCTTTCCTCTACCCTCCACTCCAGATTACAAAAAAAAAAAAAAAAACAATTAGTCTCCTCATTTTAAGACCCGGGTCCCCCAAAAAAAAAAAAAAAAAAAAAAAAAAAAAAAAAGAAAGAAAAAAAGAAACTACTGTATATACGGAAAGAAATTGAGGCTTAGAAAAGATAAGTGACCTGCTAGAGGCCCACAAGTAGTAGTAGTAAGAGCTGTGAAGACTTGAGCCCAGGTTGCCTGACTTTTGACCTGTCTGAGGATGTGTGTGTGTGCACCACTGAGAACATGCCAGATCTCCTGTTGCCTTTTGCTTCATAATTTCACCTTGCAGATTGCTCCAGATCAGCACACCCAGATATTCCTGTCAATTTATGTTTTATTTCCTTAATGTAAAAAAATGAGACTAACCTCTTCATGATTCCAAAGAATAAAAGCCAGTGTCCTCACAGTACTGAATCAGATTCTATCCCAAGTGGCCTTGTTTAATATGGAGTAAGGTAAAATCCAAGAATGGAATAGCATCATGAAAACAGTAGAAGAAATGGAGTGTCTTTTTAATGTATTTTAGGGAAGGGTCAACAGGGTGTTCGGGATCTCACTACTAGATCGGACTCATAGTGATCCACCTGTTTACAGCCTCCCAGGAGCTGGGATTACAGGCACACGCCACCATGTCCAGTCTAAATTGCTGTCTCTGCACACCCTGGGACTGGCATGACAGGCCCAGGGATTGAACCTCTGGCCCCTGCGCCTGCTTGCAGGTGTTTTAATCCACTGAGCTATTTGGCCAGCGCTGGAGTCTCTTTTACTACTCCTATATTTTATCTTTTCTTTTATTCTTCTGTCAAACTCCCAGTCCCTTCATGAGTGGAGCACCAGTTACAGAACTTGTTGACAGTTCTGCTGGCTAAATTTTGGTGACCTTTGGAAACCAGCTCCTTCCTGATCTGACCCATTCTGGGTCTGTGTGGTTCATTCTCCTGCTTGGAATTCTTTCTGACTTGGTGTATTTATACATCATTTGTCTGAGGACAGATGTGAAAGTGACAGCATAGTCTGGCTGCATGTTTCCACTAAGCATTTATCCTGCCAGTGGTTTTCAGCTAGTACTGTACTAGGTATTGGTCATAGTGATTAGCAGAGTGAGGAGCAGGTGAACTTTCTTACCTTACCCTCACTTGGCAATAACTTTACCCAGCTCTTTAAGCAGTGGTTTCCAGAAGATATTTGGGTCATGAATATAATATTTGTTATTCAGTTGGGTTGAGTAAAGTATAAATTATATGAAAAGTCTGCTTAAAGAAAATCCTTTCTATTTCTGTCAGCATGACTTACCAGTAAAGTTGTACCCTCGTATTAGCTGTGGAGAAATCTTCCTGCTTAGTTTATAAACTCTATAAACAGATATAACATTTTTGGAATAATATTTAGCAGTATTATATATGTCTTATGAGCATAAATCTACTGTAAGAAATTTCTTCTAAGCCTGGTTTGTGTGCGTGTCTTATATTTTCCCCTTTTATGATTTATAAATGCTTCACAAAAGAGATTAACTTAAAATTTTCACTCTGGGGAGCCAGTAGCTTTATATGGTACTCATGAAAAGTACATATAAAGGAAGGTAATCAGAATGTAGCTAACATAATTTTTCTTTAACAGCTTTGTTGAGGTATAATTCACTTAAGATATAATTCATGTATTTTAAGCATACAATTCAAGGATTTCTGGGTTTGCAGAGTTGTACAACCATTAGCACAATCTAATTTCCAAGTAGAACATCACTTGAAAAATCCGCCAAGCCCATTAGCAGTCACTCCCCATTCCCCTCTGCCTCTGCTGCTCCCAGCCCTCGGCACCACTAATCTGCCTTCTGGACATTTCATGTAAATGGAGTCTTACAATATGTGACCATTTGTGTCTGGCTTCTTTCATTTAGTATTAGGTTTTCAAGTTCATCCATGTCGTTGCATCTGTCAGTACTGTGTTCATTTTTATTGCTTCAAGTGGGTTGATTTCGTGTTCTTACGTTTATTAAATATGAACAGTGTTTGTCACAAAGTCAATAAGCAACTCTTTCAGATTTCAAATAGAGGATCCCTTTGGATTATGTAGTATTCGTTCTTTTCCCATGGAGTTTTAAATACAGTTCAGTTAGTCTTCTAGGAGTAGACTCCTTGGTGAAATACTAAGTAACTGATCAGTCCATAAGAAGCCTCAAAACAGTCAAGTAAAGAAAATTTTTATATTGGCTGCATTTGTTAACAAAGTGACTTGCTTACTTCTTTCAGAAATTTGCCTTCAAATTACAGTCCACAAGGCAGTCCATAAGGCATAGTGAGAGCCATTGTTTGGCTCCTTTGAATGATTAACCAGCAGCTGATTGGGAGATGGTTGATCCACTTACCCAGAGCAACGTGATGCAGTGAGCTTGCCTTGCTAGCTGTGCTTTTACAAAGAAAATTCTGAATTAAGGGATTTAAATTTTGAGAATTGATACAGGGAAACCCCTGACAGGTCCATGTCAAATAAAAGCCCATTAATTTTTGTGTTGCTTTTTCATAGGCATTGTTGGCATCTGAACCAAAGAAGGGCAAAATGGATTTGTTGAAAATGACTATGAAAGAGTTAATCTTTTTGGCTGGGCCTACAGATAGCTCGCAGAGCACAGTCCCCCAGGTAATAAAGGAAATACACAAAACATGGTAGGAGGGCACTGGGTGTGTTATCTTAAAAAATAGTTTTCTTTGTTGAGTGTCTTTGCTCTGTATTATTTTTGAAAAGTATCTGTTAAAAGATACGTAACTCTTGGAGATAGGCAGACATTTGAAGTTTTACATGAATAGTTTTTTGGATGTTTTGTTCTTTTGTCTACAAAATAAAGCATTGCTTTAGTTGATACACACTTATTAAATAAACTTAAAACTGGTGAAAACATAAAATGATAGAAGTTATTTTATAATATTACTGTTGCATCTAAAATTTTGAAAATGAATATATATTCATTTTAGAATTTCATGTGTGATTTGAGTTTATATAGACTTTTTTTTTTTTTTTTTTTTGCGGAACCGGGGATTGAACTCAGGCCCTTGTGCTTGCCAGGGAAGCACTTACTCTACTGAGCCATCTCCCCGGCCCCTATATAGACATTTTGACTCAGTAGTAGTTAAAGTAGTTAAGTCTTTAAAGGTAACATCTAACTTTTAGTATATTTCACATTTTAATTTTTCTTTATTTATTTTGCGGTACTTGGCTTTTTTTTTTTTTTTGGTAATACCAGGGATTGAACTCAGGACCTTGTGCTTGCCAGGCAAGCACTTATTCTACTGAGCTATCTCCCCAGCCCTCACATTTTAATTTTAAATTGTATGTGTAATGTTTAATTTCTTAAACTGGAATTGATTTCAATGTTCATTATATTCAGTGCATAGGGGGCCTGGCCTTAGCCCAGTTGTTTAAGTGGCTGCTTCCACAAAGCTGTCAACCTCAGGTTGCTGGAGTTCGATCCCCACAACACTTCAGCCAGCCAAACCACCCCTGAAGGCATTTGGAGCAAAACAAAAACAAAAAACCCTTATTCAGTGCATAGTTTTCTGTGCTGACATATTTCAGAGATTTATTGTATCACCTATAATGTGACCTTATGTGTAAAATAAGAATACTCTAATTTCATTTGCCACTTAGATAATTAATATCCAAGTATTTTTGTGTAATACATCATTCCCTTTTGATTATAGTACCACCTCTGTTATGTACGGTTTTTGTAGGCAGGTAGACTGTTTTTTGAAAAGTCTTTTTTTTTTTTTCGTACTGGGGAGTGAACCTAGGACCTTGTGCTTGCCAGGCATATGTTTATGCTGCTGAGCTATCTCCCAGGCCCTTAAGCAGACCGTTTTTGTTCTCTGTTCCATTGGTTTATTAATCTGGCTGTGGATCAGAGCAATGATTTTAATTACCAAGTGTCTCAGTTACTTTTTTCTTTTTGCTGGGACAAAATTGGTTTACTTAGTTTACAGTTTGTGAAGGTTTCAGTTGATACTCAGCTGGCTCCAAGGCAGAGTGGCATATGACAGCAGCCGTTCATGGTGGCTGCAAAAAGGAAAAGGAGAATCAGCTATGGCAGCTAGCAAGCCTCTCTCCTCTCTTTACACTGTAATGCATATTACCCACCGCAAGGCCAAGGTGTAGCTACCACATCCCTATAATCAATCACAAACTGCAGAAGCCGCCTCATGACTGCGTGAGCCTTTGGCTATACACAGAGCATGATACCATATTACCAATGATTTTAATTACTACTTAATTACCCTATGGAAATTTTATTACTATAATAACTTATTGCATAAGATGAGTCCCCCTCTCCCTGTCTCCTCCCTCTGCCCCTCTTTCTCCCCTGCCCCTCCCCCTCCTGGTTTCCTTCTCTCCTCTTCAGAATTGCCTTATTACATTTGTCCTGTTACACTTTTATATAAATCTTTGAATCACCTTATTAAATTCAACAGAATACCTTTTTGGAATTAGTGAATCTTGCGTGAGGTCTGGGGAAGCTTAGTAGTAGAATGACAGGCTACTGCACACAATACCTTGGGTTCTAGTCCCCATGTGTGTCTGCCCACATGAAAGAGAAAAGGATGACAGTGATGTGGCCTGAGTCTCCATGTATTCATATCTTTTTAAGTGTCTGTCAAAACTTAAAAATCAGTTTTCCTGGACTGGGTGTGGTGACCTGCACCTGTAATCCCAGCGCTTGAGAGGCTGAAGACAGGAGGATCACTGCGAGTCTGGTCTACATAGCGAGACCCTGTATACCCTGTACTAAATACATTTTTAAAAAATCAGTTTTCCAGGTTGGGCACAATGACACATTCCTATAGTTTCAGCTGCTCGGGAAGCTGAGGTAGGAAGATTATTTGAGCCTAGAAGTTCAGTGTTAGTTTGGGTGGTGTAGTATAACCCTATCTCTTAAAAAATAAAATTTCTCCCATAAAAGTTCTATAGATCTTTTGTGAGATTTGTGTCTCTCTATGTTTATCCCTGAAATCAATTGATACTTTAAATTTTTGTATTATCTTTTGCTATTGTGTAAGAATACAATTGATTTCCGTTCAGTTTGTATGTTTACAGTTTGTATGTTTTGTTATGTGTTGTAATTTTTACTCTGTCCTTTACCTTATCAACCAAAGTGACTTACCAAAATTGCTACAACATATAACTTGTCTATAAATTCTTTTGGGTTTTCTTTATAGGTAGTCATATCTTCAGTAGATAAAGATACTTTTTTAAATTTTTCTAATACTTAGTCTTGGTCTATTTGTTTGAGATTGGATCTGTGTAGCCCAGGCCAGCCTTGACTTGAGGGTAGACCAGGCTGTCCTTGGATTTATGGTCCTTTCTGCTTCAACTTCCCAAATGGTGGGATTATAGGAATGTGCTATCTAACCAGCTCTAAATATGTGAAAGTTTTTTCCTTATCTTATTCTGCTACTGAAGCCTGTAGTAGAATTTTGAAGAGAAACAGGGATAACAGGAATTCTTATATTGTTTTGTTATGTGTTGTAATTTTTACTCTGTCCTTTACCTTATCAACAAAAGTAACTTATCAAATGCTTTGTGGCATTTTTGAGATACATACTTTTTTTCCCTTAAAATTTGCGAATTCTATAAATATTTTTTTTTGTTTTTTTGGGTTTTTTTTTGGTGGAACCAGGGATTGAACTCAGGCCCTTGTGCTTGACAGGGAAGCGCTTATTCCACTGAGCCATCTCCCCAGCTCAGTTATGTTAATTTTTAAGTGGAATGCTCTTTGTATACTGAGCATGAACCCAGGTTGGACGTGGTGTTTTTATACATTGTTGGATTTGGTTTAAAATCTTTACTAAATATTTTTGTGTCTTTCACTAGGTCTATGAGACCTTGTGGTTTTCCTTTCTCATCATGTTCCATTCAATTTTTAACATGTATTTTACATTTTAATTATCATATACATACATAGAGGTCTCCAAGTCTCATATGTACCTCTCAAAGGGAGCACACTTGTGTCTCCAGCAGAAAGATGGAACATTCTAGCACCCGCAAGCCCCCAGTCGTGCTCTCCTCCAGCCAGCACCCTCTCCTCAAGAGTGCCACTGTGCCAACACCTTATTTTTAGTTTTACTTATTATTTGAGTTCTATAAAGATAAAACCCCACATAGCTGGGTGTGGTCCCTTATACCTTAGTCCTAATGCTCTAGTAGGCTGAGGCGCGAGGATTATAAACTTGAGCCCAATCTGGCCAGTTTACCAATTTAACAAGGTCCTGTCTCTAAGTGAAAAGCAAAAAAGGACTTGGGTTGTAGCTCCGTGGGAAGGCCCCAGGTTCAGTGTCCAGCAGTGCAAGAAGACACACAAACCACATGTTTCAAACCATACTTTTGATATGATCTTTTTTGGTTGACATTATGATATCCATCAATATGGTAATTTATTCATTTTCATTGTTAATGTACAGTTTATCTGTTCTAGATGAACATATTGATACTTTAAATTTTTTATTTATTTATTCATTTTATTATTTATTTATTTATTTATTTATTTGTATTGGGCATTGGACCTTGGGTCTTTTCGCTGAGCTACTGAATTTTGAGACAGGGTCCTGGTAAGTCACTAAGTTGCTTGGGGTGGGCAGAAATTTGAAATGTTCCTGGCTCAGCTTCCTAGAGTGCTATGATTACAGGCATGTGGCACCACATATAACTCGTGGTTATTTTTAATCTTTTTATTTATTTGTTTATTTATTTGGTACAGGGTCTCACTATGCAGGTTGAACTCAGTAGTGATCCTCCTGTCTCAGCCTCTCCAGTGCTGAGATTACAGGTGTGTGCCATGTTTCGGTGGCCAGCATGTTTTGCCTGGGGTTCCTGGCTCACATGGCAAGCCTGGGCACTTGGTTTTTTTTTTTTTTAATTTATTTTTTATTTTTATTTTTTATTAATTTTATTGAGAAATAAATAATGAGACAGTTTCAAAACCGATTAGTAGGACAGTTTCAGTAATTAATACATTGCTTATTGTTATCTTCGTAGTGGTTATTCATAGTACAAGATGCAGACATAAATTTTGATCTATGAAGAATAGTTTTTAAGGTAGTTTTCAGACATGTTTAGTGGTGAACATACATTGTATATCTCTGTTGAAAATATAGTTTGAAATACTTATTGGATGCAGTATGTATAAATTCAGCTTTAGTCCCTCTTCTAATAGCCAGGTTATATTAAATTCATATAATAAATCTGGACATCTATCTTTGCGGTCTATGTAAGATGGAAGTGGCAGTTATGTATTCTCTAGATGTAAAATCCATTTATGAAATCATGAGGGGCTTTAAAAATGTTTTTGTTGCTTTTTTAAAAAAAATCTTTAGGAGTCTTTTTTTTTTAGACCAAAATCAAATTCAGGACCTTGTGCTTGGCCAGGCTGGTGTTTGTGCCATTGATATATCTCCAGTCCCTTTGGGTGGGTATTAGACTATTGGGTTTTTGTTTTGTTTTGTTTTTTACAGTAGTATTTCTGTAGATGTTTGGTTTTTCCTTGAATTGGTATTGATAAATTCTGCACTTAGGCTACTGTTCATTTTATTTTAATTCATCAAATTGATTCCAGTAGACTTGTTCGCAGCATGTTTTTTCTTCTTCTGTATCTGCAGGCCTGTCTTCTGTGAGACTGCCCATTTGCTCTTTTCTTTGCTTCTTAGTCTTGTCAGAGATTTTTTTTTGTTTCAAAGAATCAGCTTGGTAGCTTTGTTAGCGCTATTAGTTGAATCTTTGCCATTAATTTTTTTTCTCTTTTTACTTCCTTTCTCTGTTGTTCTTTTTCTGTCATCGTAAGTCAACACACAGCACTGTCACTTTCATTCATATTTTTTAATAGAAGTATTTCATGCATATGCTAAGTATACATTTCTTTTTTAAGCTTCACTAAGGTACGTCCTTAGGTAGTAGCTTCGTTGTTGTTCAGCTTTATTAAAATTTCTTTTTCTTTGATTAGTCAATTTAGAAAGTATTTTAAAAACTATTTCTAATTTAGTTCTACTGTGTCAAAGAATATAAAATAGTGATTATTTGGTATTTGTTGAGACTTTGTGACTGGATTTTATATCACTTAAAAAGATAAATGTCATATATGTCCTTGAAAAGAATATGTATTTATGTATTAGATGCAGGATTCTATATGTGTTCATTAAACTTTTTATTACATTCTTCAATTTTTTTAATTTCAAATTTTAAATTGTAGTTCAATCCCCAGTTCTGCCAAAAAAAAAAAAAAAAAAAAAAAAAAAAAAGAGTAAGTTTTAAATTGTATTAGTACATGTTTGTAGTTTCTGAGGTTTACATTCATCTTGGGGAGTGATTATGTGTACACACCATAGCCTGTTTTCCTTTCTTTCCTTTCCTTTCCAGGGGCTGGGGAGATGGCTCAGTGGAATAAGCGCTTCCCTGGCAAGCGCCAGGGCCTGAGTTCAATCCCTGGTTCCGCCAAAAAAAAAAAAAAGTCCTTTCCTTCCTTTTTTCTTTCTTTCTTATTCTCTTTCCTCCTCCTCCTCCAATTCCCCAAACTAATTTTTCAATCTTACTAATTTTGGATAAATTAATAATTTTAATAGTTATTAAATAAATTAATAATTTTAATTATCGGTTATTGAGTATCTCTTATTAATCTGCAGTATCATTTGTAAATTGCCTGTTTCTTTTGTAATCTTATGCAAGGTTTAGAATTAGCATAGCTTGTGGTTCATGACTGATTTTGAGCTCTTGCTTCTAGGTCCATGCTCTGAATATCCTCCGAGCGTTGTTCAGAGACACACGTCTAGGAGAAAACGTCATTCCTTTCGTTGCAGATGGAGCCAAGGCTGCAATTCTGGGCTTTACCTCACCAGTCTGGGCAGTGAGTGCGTTTGTCATTTGCCACTTATTTTCACTGAATTAATTGTACTTTTGAGTAGGTTGTAATAAACTGACCTTTCACAGGATGATAAAAGAATACATTTTATCAAGGAGTTTCTTTAATGGATGAAAAAATTCTGAGATTGAGCTATAATTTAATAGTTGATGGTTGCATTTTATCGTATTTGTTGATTTTGTCTTTAGACATTTTTCTTTATGTAGTGCTTGCTTTAGGGTTTATAGCATTTATCTTTAACTTATCACTATCTGCTATCAATTGATAATATACCATGCCATTTAAAGTTTTAAGAGCTTAATAACAGTGTATTTGTATCTCTGTCCCACAGTCTTTGTACTGTTGTTAAGAATGTCACTTATGTGTTGTCATAAACCTATGTCACAATGTTAACTCTTTTTGTTTGTTTTGGTTTTTGTTTTTTTGTGATACTGGAGAGTGAACCCAATGACTTCACATTGAGCCATATCCCCAGCCACTTTATATTTGTAATTTAGAGTTGAGGTTTTGCTAAGTTCTACAAGGTGGACTCAGTATGTGATCCTCCTGCCTCAACCTCCTAAGAGTTTTGGGATTATAGGCATGTGCAACCACTACTGGTTCTATTATCCTCTTTCCTTTACCTGCTTTTTTTTTTTTTTTTTTTGTGGTACCAGGGATTGAACTCAGGACCTTGTACTTACCAGGCAAGCACTTCTTCCACTGTCTATCTTCCTGGCCGTTTTTTTTTTAAATTTTTTTTTTATACCAGGGTTCAAACTTGGGACCTTGTGCTTGCCTGGCAGGCACTTGTGCAACTAAGCTGTGTCCCCGGCCTTTACCATTTTTAAATATATACAGTTGAGTATGATTAAGTATGCTCGCAGTGTTCATCACCACTATGCATTTTCAGAGCTTTCTCATCATCCCAAACATCTGTACCTATTCATCACTAACTTTTCGTCTTCCCTCCCTTCATCCCTTGAAACCTTGGTTCTACTCTGTATCCCTATAGATTTTCTTATGTAATATGTAAGTGAAATCATACGATATTTGTCCCTGTGTGTTTAGCTTCACTTGCTATAGTATTTTTAATGTTTGTTTGTGTTGGCTGGATAATATACCATTTTATATATATGCAATACATTTTTACAAAATCTGTTCCTCTGTTGTTGGACTTCTAGCTCGTTTTTACTTGTTGTTTATTGTGACTTTAACACAGCAGTGAAATATTGATGTACTAATTATCTGAGTTCCTGTTCATTTGAGTGTATCATGTAGTAATTCCATGTTTAACTTTTTGAGAAACTACTAAACTATTTTCTACAATAGCAGGACCACTGCATACTCACATCAACAATGTATGATAGTTTCAGTTTTTTTAAATCTTCACCACTACCTATTACTTTGCATTTTTTAATGATAGTCCGTTCTAATCTGAGTGGTATTGCATTTGGATTTTAATTTGCATCTCCCTAATGATTGGTAATATTGATCTGGAAGCAGAGCAGCTCTTAGTATGTTATTGTCTTTCTTTTGGCTCCTTTGTAATGCAGATTCTGTGTATTAGTATGTTGAATGAGTACTATAAACTGTCTATCAATAGTTTAAAAAACATTAAAATGAAAGAAGTACTGGGTCACATTCTCATTTGCAATACGATCGATCACTATCTACAAATGATTTGATTCAGAGCACTAAACATCATGGGAAGTACCTAGTGCACCCAGTGCATTTAAGAAAATAAACTTTCATGTGTCTTTTCCTTGTTTCTGTGAGAAACATTGTAGTTTTTTTGTTTACTCATGTGATTGTGTCTTCTAGAATAAAGGAAAATAATGAATGGTTTGCAGGTGCTTGAAATATGGATTTTAGAAATACCTGGCAAAGAGAGAGGAGAAAGAAGTAAGATTTTAAATCAGAATACTTACTCGAAAGTCAATCTTTCTAACTAGTGAGTTGCACAAGTCATTTCGTACCTCCCAAGAGAAGCCTGTAATCATGAGTCAGTCTATTTCAGTGGCAGCCAAAAGTGTAGACTCTCACTGTGAAAAGGAATCCTCAAGGTTGCCAACTCTTGCTTGGAACTTCGGGCATCTTCCTGTAAGAGACACATACTTCTAGAATCCTGTCTAGGAGTATTGCATCACGGCTCTTGAGGACATACTGTTTACCTTTTACATTTACAGGAAATAGCAGTACCTGTACTTTGTGTGGTCAGAGAGGTAGAAATGTGGCTTGATCGTCAGGAAAATAAGAGATCATAAAACTGATTGCCAGCAAGATCAATATTGTTTTCTTCAAGCTTAATTCCAGACAATACAAGAAATACTTTCTGTGAAAAGATTTTACTAGAGTGAAACCTATCACTCCCCTACCCCCTCCCTTGCCTTCTTGACAAACCTGAAAGTGTCAGAAATGAGTGCTTCATGTTCTGGAGTAGACATTTTTGGAATACAGAGAACATTTAAGGTTGTAAGCATAGTAGGCATTAGACATTCCTACTGTTTTGTAGATATGTTAAGCTTTAGTATTTCATGTACTTGGCATCATTTACATTACACTAATTTATCTCATTGATGTTAATATAAGCAGTATTTCATTAATAAAGAACAGGCTTCAAAGAGATGACATAACTTTGTCTAAGGACAAAAAACCACTGACTCTAAAAATTGTGTTCTTGCAGAAGAGAATTTTGGGTATTACAGGACTACAAAAGAGGTGCATTTCAGCTACCTTGGAAGGTATCTTAGTCACTTTTCTCATTGCTGAGCTAGAGGAAGAAAGGTTTATTTAGCTCATAGTTCATAGAGGTTTCACTTCATAGTGGCTGGCTCCAAGGCAGGGTAGCATTGCAGAAGAAAAACAATTCATGGTGGGCAGAAGGCAGCAAAGTGGTGAGGAAGCTGCAGCAGCAAATGATAAGCAACACCACGGCACATCGCACCCTAGCTCCAGCCACCTCTGAAAAGTCCCACCTGTGACACATGAAGCTTTGAGGACTATCCAGATACCAGCCATAACAGGGCTTTTTTTTTGTTTATTTGTTTGTTTTGGTTTTTTTAGAGTCTTGCTGTGCAGTTCAGGCTGACCATGAACTTACTATATAGCCAAAACAAATTAAAAAAAAAAAAATCCTGTGTTCATTCATTACCAGAGGAACTTAAATTATTAAGATGGCAGTAGTCCCCAGATTGATCCTCAGATTCAGTACAATCTCTGTTAAAATCTCATATGGCTTTTTTGGGCAGAAATTTACATGCTGGTTCTAAATCATATAAGGAAATTTAAGGGAACTATAATAGGCAAAGTGATTTTGGAAAAGAACAAAGATGATTCACAGGTCCTAATTTTGAAAATTAAGAAAAAGCAATAATAAAACATTATGGTATTAGAAGGACAGATACATAAATTAGTAGAACAAGACTGTCCAAATTCTACATTTAATAAACAAGAATGATTTCAATGGGGAACGAATAATACTTCTAGGACAACTAGACATCAGCATGTAAAAGAATGCGATCAGTCCCAATCTAAAATCATGTTCAAGGAACAATAACTGGATCAAAAATCTACATGTCAAAATTATAAAACTTTTAGAATAACAAAGTAGAAAAGTTTGTAACTTGAAATAGGTAATAGTTTCTTAGATATGACATATAAAGTACAAACAATAAAAGAAATTAGGTAAATTAGACATCATCAAAATAAAAATCTTACAGCAGCCAGGGTTTGATCCCTAGCATGTCATGTCAGTCCCTCTCCTAGGGTGCACTGGAGATTGAGACTGGGCATGGTGGCACACACCTATAATCCCAGCTCTTTGGGAGGCTGAACACAGGAGAATCACTATAAGACTGATCTATGTAGTGAGACCCTGTAGACCCTTACTAAAATACAAAAAATAAAAAGTAAGAAATAAATAATCTCATTTCAAAGGACACCATCAAGAAATGAAAAGACAACTCCCAGAATAGAGAGATTTACAAATCATATTGTCTGATTAGAGTATCCAAAACATATAAAGAACTCTTACAATTCAATAATAGAAAGATAATTCAATTAAAAATGGATAGTGAATTTGAATACATTTTTGTAAAGAAGATGCTATAGTTGAGGATGCTTAAGATCATTAGTCATTAGAGAAGTGTAAATCAGTGCCATAATACTTAATAAAATAAAAATGATGGGTACTAATAAATATTATGGAAAATGTGGAGAAATCAGGAAATTTGTGGAATTGGAACCCTCATATATTGCTGGTGAGAATATAAAATGGTATACTACTATAGCACTCCTCAAAAGGTTAAAGAGTTACTTTATGACTGTGCCTGCCACCTTGAGGTATGACCCAGGAAAGATAAGCATGTCTACACAAAAGCTTGTACATAAATTTTTCAGCATCATTATTCATGCCAGTCAAAAAGTGGAGACAAACTCATTGCCCATCAAATGCTGAGTAGACTTTAAAAATGTGACATATCTGTGCAACAGGCTGTGAGCCAGCCATGATAAGGAATAGCATGCTCTCTGTGACACGATGGGTGAACCTGAGGACAGTGTGTTAGGTGAAAGAAGCCTGGCATAAAAGACCACTGAGCACGTGGTCCCGTGTCTAGGGGGTGTCTGAAATAGGCAAATTTATAAAGAAAAAAGTAGATTTGTACTTTACAGTTGTTTGAGGATAGGGAATGGTGAGTAATACATGTGAGTTTCATTTTGGGGTAATGAAACATTGTTGAAGTGGTAATAATTTCTTGCTTTGGGACTATAGTAAAGACAACTGATTAAAATACTTTATAGAAATACTATGGTGTATGAATTGTACCTCAATAAAATGAAAAGCAGTTTTTAAAATGACATTAAAAGCATTTGATCAGTTTTGGAGGTTACTATGTCATGAACTGAAAATTGGTGAATATTTGGAAATAATTCTTTTCTGACTTAACAGGGAAATCAAATAGCTGATGGGGGAAAGCTCATTAAAATTTTTTCTCTTTCCTGGGACCATAAATAATACAGAATGCCTGATAGCATATCACCATTTTGGTGCACCTATGAAGATAGGTAATGGTCATCCTTGGGAACTTTATAGAGTCTGGTCTGGCTCCTTTAACAAAATACCACAATCTCAGACTTACAAGCAACAGAAATTTCTCACAGTTCTGGAGGCTAGAAAATCTGAGGTTAAGATCCTGGTAGATTCATTGCCTAGTGAGGCTTGTATTTTGGTTCATGGTGGGACTCTTTACTCATCCTCACATGGTAGAGGGGCAGAGTGTCTCTCAAGCATCTTTTCTATGGCAACTAATATCCCATTTATGATGGTAGAGCTCTCATCTAACCAAATCATAAATTTTCCTCACGTGCTAATACCATCACCTTGGGGGTTATGATTTCAATATTTAAATTGGGATTCCGGGTATGCAAGCATTCAGTCCATAGCAATCAGATGAATGAGTTTGATAGTGCTGGGTTCCATTATGTATCTCAATACTACTAAGAGACATTATGTGCCTCCTACCTCAGTCTATGGACTCAAGCAAACGTTTATTTCTGGAGGTGCCTGTTCTCTTTTTGAAGTCAGTTCCTACAGTTCTGTTACTCCTGTTTTGACTTTGCCACCTTTGTTATAAAGATTGGTTTAGGCAAGATGGAGTTTGTGATTTTGTTCCCTTCTTTGTTCTTTTCTTTTCACCCCTCTGTGCCTTCCTTTTCTCCTTTCTGTTGTTTCACCATGTAAGAGATCTAACTCAGTACTGTTGCATGCAATTTACGTGCTCTGCTACTGAGCCATATCTCCAAGCCCTAGTTGTGGTTTTTTTGTTGTGATTTCTGAAAGGAAACAGGGTCTTTGCCAAATCATTTTAGATCTATGAATCTGAGAACTATTTGAGTAGATTGAGTAAGAGGTAATCCAGACGAGCTGGGGCAGAGGCAATACTGATGAAGTAACAGATGACTGTTCTGTTTTTTAGGGATAGTAGGGAAGACATGTAGTAGGGACTCCATTGATGTTTGCTGATGGTCGAATGAATGCAAGTAGATTTCTCATTTTAGAGTTGCATTGCAGTTATGGTATAAATTGTGCTAATACATCTATAAAGTCCACTTGCAGGGTCACCCGGGATAAGCTGAAGCACTTTTGGGCTCCTAGAAGAGCCTGTAAACTGGTGGCCAATAGGACAAATGTCCATCGCTGTGTTTTATTTGGCCTCCATGGTGGATTTTCCTTGCTTTTCTTTAATTTGTTGCCAACATTTCAAAATAGTGAGATTTCACATATAAATCAGGCTTTCTGGCTTCTCTTTAAAAAAAAAAAAAAAAAAAAAAAGAGAGAGAGAGAGATTGGACAACAGTGGGTTTATATTCCCTAGTGGCAACAAGTCAGCTGAAGCTGAATAGTGATTACATTAGACACAGTTCACTGTTGCCTCTGTTGCTTGCTGGTCTTTCTGGGCATTTGAATTTGCGATCTTTACTGCAGTAGTTTTAGGAAGCTGTTTTCTAAATCCTGCTTTATTATTTTTAATGAGCTTTCTATTTGTATTGCTACTTACCATATGATAGTGACATTCACCTAGTGAGAGTATGACCTCTGTGGTGACTGTGTTTTCTATTTCTGGATGTGGTTCTGGTAATAATGCCTTGCAAACTGTAGGGAAGGCAGTGCAGTATTACATAACTGTGCTCTGATTTGGCAGGGTAATTCCAAAGCCTCTTGGCACATGTTTGGAAAACATGTATTCTGTTAGTATCTTGGAGAAGTGCTTCAGTCAGGTTCATTAACTAAAATGCTTACCTCTTTTATTATTTATTTCAAATAATTTCAAAGTTAAGTTTTTTGTTTTTTTTTTGGAACCAGGGATTGAACTCAGGCCCTTGCACTTGGCAGGAAAGTGCTTATTCCACTGAGCCATCTCCCTGGCCCCATAAAGTTAAGATTTCTTGAGTAGGTTACTGGCATTGTGAGGTTAGTAAGTAATATTTTGAATATTTATCACTGTTGTTTTTATTAATTACATATGTTCTTTGAAGTTAAGTCCTACAGGTATTTTCTCATAGGTAAATAATCACAGAAAGAAAGAAAATGTAGAGTTTAGGTCTTTCCTGGAATATTCATTGTCAGGAAGGACATGAAAAAGCAGTTTTGTTTTTCTTTTTATAAACAAATGGTATTTGATGATACAATATAAAGGTATCATGAAAACAGTTATTGGTAATAGTAGAAGTATAGAAAAAAAGCTCAATTTAAGAGGAAGTCATTGAGTCAGTTTCTCTGAAGTTTCTTTTGAGAGTTGTCTTATGCGCCTAAATTGTATTTTCTTCAGCTCCATATTAGTGAAATGTAATGATTTTGAGTATCTAGTTTGATGATTATAAATGCCGGTTTTGTGTCATGAATGTGTCTTAATCTTTTATTGTATTTTTTTTTTTAACACTAGGTGCGAAATTCATCCACACTTCTCTTTAGTTCCTTGATCACAAGAATTTTTGGAGTTAAACGGGGAAAGGATGAACATTCCAAAACAAATAGGTAAGCTTTGTCTAATGTCAACTTTACTTTTTACCACAGTAGTATTCTGGCCAAAAATAATTGTTGAAATTCTGCTTACTTTTGTAGATTCACCTGCAGTATAAAACTATAAAAATGCTATGATAAGTTAACGTATGCTGCTAAATTCTAAGCCCTTAGAAAAAAATATCAGTTGTTTGATAAGTGAACCAAGGCAGCAAAAATATAATAAGGACTAAAGTACACTTGTTTCTCAGTGCAATCACTGAAATTTCTTCTTTTTTTGTATCTTCTTGAAATATTTCTGAAATGTCCTAAATGTTTCTTAATGTGCTATTACATACCCGTCTTGTGCAGTGTCTCCAGTCATATGAGTGGAGTGTAGATGCCTGTGAAATGCACCAGCGCATGTCCTAGACTACCTCTGCCTTCACTGTGGCTCAAGTATAAGGGATACATGAGAGCACTTTGAGATATTGATCACATCAAATAAACAGTGTTTTTTACTTTCTGGTCTTTAATTTACTCTCTATTTTTTTCTTAATATTTGGAAAGAAACCTATGGAACTATTTGATTCTGGATGATTTTTTGGGGGGGAGTGATTTTTCAACATATGACACAAGTTTTTCAAGAAGAGAAACTGAACGGTTCTCGAGCATTTGAGAGGACTTAATAGTAGTGCAGCTGGTTTACAGTTGTTAACACTAGATGTCACTATCGCTGCGTGTTAAATACTTCCTTAACTTCATGTAGGACTGTATTGTCCAGTAGTCTCCTTTTCAGGACTTAGGCATAAATTCAGGCTCAGTTCCACTCCTACCTGCAAAACTTGTCATGCTTAAAATTTAGGTTTTAAGTTTTTGTTTGTTAAAATATATTTTAATTGTAATGAAACCAATTTTTAATTTTTTCAAAAATTAAAGAATGACTTGAAATAATTTTTGTGACATGTAGGTGGTACTTCTAGGGAAACCTATTACAGTGGTTCACAAGTGTCATTTAAATTGCTACCTATCTCCCTCAAAACTCACCACATATTAAGAAGGAAGGTAACTGGCTAAAAGTGTGAATTCTTTTTTTTTTTTTTTTTTTTTTTTTTGCTCCGAATGCCTTCAGGGCAGGTTTGGCTGGCTTGAGTTGTAGGGCTCGAACCACAGCAACCTGAGCCTGACTGCTTTGTTGAAGCAGCCACTTAAGGGGCAGGCCTGCAAAAGTGTGAATTCTTAAACATATTCAGAAAATACTTATTTTTAAAAGATTGAACTGTTTTAAAAGAATTCATTGTTGTTTTGGAAGAAAGGCCATAATTTTTACTTTTTAGCCTTTTTTAAAGTAATTCTTCCTACTAAATTATTAATATGTTTTATTTCTAGCTGTCTACTTTGTTAATCTATAATGTGCTGAGGTTTGAAATAGGCTTTATAAGGCCATGATGAGTAGTGCTATAAATAAAACAGTAGGTTATCACGAAGTGGATGTTTAAAATGGAAGTTGAAAATGAAAGAGTGCTTTTCCTTTTAGTTTTTATGAAGTGATTCTTATATGTGTATATAAATTTTACTATGCCCAGAAGAAAAACTGTCAGATTTATTTCATTTAGGTGGCAACTGAAGGGTGGATGAATAGGCCAATGATACCACCGTTTTCTCTTTTCTCTTGTCTCTTGTCTCTATCTCTGTCTGTCTCTCTGTCTGACTGTCTGTCTCTCTCTCTGTCCCCTTTTTACCAAAATCACATTGATGAGAACCTCCATTATAAATCCTATTCCTTTTGGATAGGAAAGCGTACAGTAGAAATTTCCTAGAAAGAGGGAAGTAGAATATTTGCATAATTATTTTGAGTGAAGTTGGAAAGTGAAATGAGGAAATAGAAAGTTAATAATTTACTGAAATGCAATGAGCATTTTTGGTATGTCCCTTTATCTGAAGACTGTTATGGACCTACACAGGCTTTGTTCTCTGTTTAGTCCTTGAACAATCTGCTTCATGGCATCCCTTGCCCCATTTGCTCTATAAAATCATTAGTATCTTAAATTTGTAATTGTTCATGATGTTCCTTCTACTTTTGTAGTTAATTATATCATTTTTTGTTGAAATGTTTATGTGACTGTTCCTTACAAGGGCAGGACCTTTCCCATCTATTATTTCCATATATATAGTAGACACTTTAAGTGTGCTAGTAATAATGTTTGTCTGTTGGTTGTTTAAATATGGAATAACACTTCAGAACCAGCTAAGGTTGCTTTCATAACCACAGATTGTCCTGCTCCATAATCTTGCAAACTTGTGTTCTTTTTGGAAGAAGAACTGGACATACGAAGAACATCTGCCTTTTCCATCTAGTTGTGAAAAAAAATAATGTCTATCTTGAGGTAAACAAACTTGGTTTCTAGGCATTTTGTTGCCACTGGAGATGACCTTAATAGACTCCCTTGTCCTCTCTGCACTTCAGTTTCTCCATCTGCATAACAAGAATAAGAAGAACTAGGGTCTGGCCCCCTGGGATTACTGTGAGCATAAAACAAGCTTTCAGAATTTATTTTATTTTATTGCGGCTCCAGGGATCGAACTCAGGAACTTGTGCTTGCCAGGCAGATGCTTATGCTGCCGAGCTGTCTCCTCGGGTGCTCAGAGTTTATTTTTTTGAAAATAGTAGAAGCCTTAACCAATTAGAGATATGATTTGTTATTTTTCATGTCACTGCTTCTGTTATTGTACTCATCCTGTTGTGTTGCTGTTAGGCCATGCTTTTTTGAGGACAGCTTCAGGGTTAGAATCATAACCATTTTTGTGTACCTGGTAGCTTGTGGTGTCTGGTTTATAGGAGTCATAAAAAATACTTGCTTAATATTAGTAAGACAATTTTGTTATAGAGGAGGCATAAGAAATCTTTGTTTATTACTACCTTTGTTCCTGTAGGCATTATAATCAATTTAGACACATTTGTTGAATTTCTTCTCTGGAAAATAAGAGGTTTAGATTAGCCCTGAGTTCTCTTTCCTTTATAATATTAAGCTCTGGCCTTTTTTTTTTTTTGTGGGTACAGGATCTCACTATGCAGGTTGGGCTCGTAGTGATCCTCCTGTTTTCAGACTCCCCAGTGCTGGGATTACGGGTGTGCACCACCACTGCTGGAGTCGGTTGCCCTGGGGGCAGGGCTGGCCCAGCACGGTATTGGGGATGAACCAGGTTCCTGCACTTGCCTAGCAGGTGCTTAGTCCGCTGCGCTATCTCGCCGACCCAAAGTCTGGCTTTATGTAACGTTGCCGCAATTGCGTGTTTGGTGAAGCGCTGTAATAGTGGTGCCTGGAGTAGTACCTGCCATGGAACAGGGATAAGCAGTTCCCATTTTTTAATATAAAGTTCTTGCCTTCATTTTTGGAAGTGTGTGGCATGCACTTGTAACCACTGATTTTTTGAGCCTCTTTTTCTTGTTCTAGGTGTGTTCTCTGGACTACAAGCTTTACTTGCATGTTTTGAATATTGTTACTTTTTAACTTTCTAAAACTCTGTCTTTTCTATCTTGCCACTTAACTGACTGGGCCTAACAGAATGAATAATTTTTCCTATGTAAAATCAGGACCTACACAGCTCTGCAATCAGGAGAATGTGCTGCACTTTCTGAAGTAGCTTCCACCTGCACATGGGGGGCTGCTTTCATCACTCCTCATTTCTTACAGGGCAGGATCTGAACCAATGTGAGCTTAATTCTAGATCTTTACCTTTAGCCTGGATTGACCTCGGCTAACCTAGTCCTAGCTCAATGGCTAATGTCAAAGTATAGTCCCCTGGAGGGCTTTATTCTTTGCCTCTTGGAGTGACTTCCCTGCCAAAACTTCATACATGGGTCCAACACACAGAGTTATAGTATTATAACAGAGTTTTTGCGCATTTCTGCACACGAGTGATAGGAAATATGGAATATACTCAAGGTACTTACAATTAAACTGAGGAGACAAAAATTGTGACTTGGGACTCCAATAAAATTGGGGGCACCATATGGTAATCTCCTGCATAATGTGATATGGGTAGGGGATGCATAAAAATTCATAAATGGAAGAATTGAGTGGAATATTTGAAGCAAATAGAGTTACTTAACAGACTTTTAGTGATGAATATATTTGGGGTACATGGAAACAAGTGGATTAAAAAAGGGAAATAATCTTATTTATTGTGTTGCTAGATGTTATCTCTGTTCTTCTAAAAAGAATTCATATTAATAGATTTGAATGGTGTTTAGTATAGCTCAAGAAAATGTATTTGCAAAAGCATCACTAAGTCTGAGAAGTTCTTTCCTGAGACTGTGTTAGATGTTAAACTTATTTTATTTTTCTGAGCATAGTGACAGAATTATTATTTTTCTTAACGTCTTAGTGGTGTAGATCTGGGGGGCTCCTCTGAGGGGCATCCGGCCTTGTCCACCATCCTCCTTGTAGGCAGATTCAGGAGCAATTTCCAGACAGATTGGCTTTTCTTCTGATCTTTTTGTTTTCTAGGAAAAGAAATTCCACAAGTTTCTGTGGTTACTCAATCCATTGTTTAGAAAAGAATTGCATTCTCAAAACTAAAATTGAGAGCTATGGGACGGCTGGGTTTTTATATTTTACAGAATTATCAGAATTCAGAATAGGGGTTTGGGGGATAGCTTGGCTGTCTAAGTGCCTGCCTGGCAAGTGCAAGGACCCAGGTTTGATCCCTGGTAGCACCTGCCATGGTGGCCCCACACTGAACCAGCCACTGAAACTGGGCCTAATGGTACACACCTATAATCCCAGCGATGAGGAGGCTGAGACAGGAGGATCACTACAAGTCTGAGCTGCATAGTGAGACCCTGTGCCAAATTAAATAAATAAATAAATAAATAAATAAATAAATAGAATTCCTAATAGGTTGCTTTGAACTACATGGTATCTTCTAGCAAGAGCTTATTTGGTCAAACTAAAAATCAGAATTTTCTTTGATCATGGCCAGGATACTGTAGCATCCTTTGACCCTAGAAGTTCTCTCTTTTTTTTTTCCAT